AGTATAAACACATGATCTTGATTCTATCCCTCTGTTAATGCAACCTAGGATTGTGTTGGCTTTTTTGGCAGCTGTCGCACAACGCTGGCTCATATTGAAGTGATTGTCCACTAGGACTCCAAGATCCTTCTGGAATCCTGCTTGGTATGCAAACCTTTCCTTAGTTGTCAAGTCCACTCGTTGCTGTGCACAAAAACTTGCAGTTTTTCTCATCCCTGACAAGGTTAAAAATGTGTGGAACTCCCAGAATTTCCCAGCACCCATGTTGAATTTCTCTTATCTTCCTGGATGAGAAGGAAATGTCTTTGAAGAGAAACTCAGGAAGTCCAGTTGCCTCTTGGATGAAAAAAAAACACACCATCTTTGGTTCAGTTGCCTTAACTAAAAAAAAACCCACAAATATGCGTGGTGCTGTCACAACTCGAAACCCACCACCTCCCTTTATCTGCGTTGTGTTACGTGTCCAAAGAAGCAAAATTTGTTTTTGTGATGTTTGTGTGTTGTATCACCGCCATTCGTGACTATTCAAAGTTGCAATGGCCTTGGAAAAAAGGGACTGGTGACCACTCCTCGCATTTATGACCGTTGCAATATCGCCCACGGTTACATAATCAAAATTTGGGAACTTTAGGACAATGGAAGCATCCCAGGATCACATGATCCCAGCCAGCTTCAGACAAGCAGGCAATGGAGGAAGCCAGATCTGCTTAACAACCTCATGACTCACTTAACAACTGCAGTGATTTCCTTAATATCCATGGCAAAAAAAAACACCTGGTAAAACCAGGTATATCTCATTTAACAACCACGTTGCTTAGCAACTGCTCCAATTGTGGTTGTAAGTCAAAGATTGCCTCTAAAGGGCCGGCTATTTATTTTATCTCCAAGTTTATATTTTAAAATTTAGCTTCCTCCAATATGGGTAAGCCTTCGCTGTCTCCATTTAAGACAGGGGTCCCCAAACTTGGCAACTTTAAGACTTGTGGACTTCAACTCCCAGAATTCCTCAGCTAGCAAAGCAAAGCTAGCTGAGGAATTCTGGGACTTGAAGTCCACAAGTCTTAAAGTTGCCAAGTTTGGAGACCTCTGACTTAAGACATATACTCCATAAATTAATCCCCCCCGCCCCCAGCAGCTTTTAATAGGGCTTCACTTGGCAAGTACTTTACTTACATTTTAGTCCATTTAATTCCTTGCCAATTAACTTTGGAAAGATCAACAGGTTACAAAATTTACTTTGGCCTATAATTTTCAGAAAAGGGTTGTATTTTCCGGCATTTAGGGCGGTCCAAACTGCCAAAACCTCCCTTTAAAAGGTCTGAATTATGGCCTGCAAAAGTGACCCTGGGCACTTTAAACCAATTTAATTCTTTCCCCATCATGTTAGGGTTGGTCCTTCCCTGGTTAGGAAGTCCACCTGGCCACATTTCAATTAAGTGTTTTGAGTATGAACAGGGCTATGATGTTTCTATAGTAGAGAGCAGACAGCAAAAAAACAAAACACACACACACACACACAAATAAAAGCTTTCAGAATATGTCAAGCTCAGTTCTTAGGAACTCAGCCCCTTTAGAGAAAAAGGCATTGATTTAATTTTATAGCTGGTTTTTAGAAACCCCTTTTGGATTGTCTGCGTGAAACAGAAAAAAATGTGATTCCCCCCCCCTTCCTTCTTATTGAAAATGTGACAAGAAGCAACGGGTGGAAAACGAATGAAGGAGAAAAGTAACCGAGAACGAAGGAGAAAATTCCTGACAGTGAGAGGACAATGAATCACTGGAAGCTTTCAAGAAGACACTGGACTGCCACCTGTCAGAAATGGAGAAGGGTCTCCTGCTTGAGTTGGGGGGTGATGGAGGGGTGGACTAGATGACCTCCAAGGCCCCTTCCAACTCTTGTTATTCTGTTATCAAGGAGATATCCAACCTTAAAACGAGGAGAAATTTTCAGACAGTGAGGACAATTAACCAGCGGGAACAACTTGTCTCCAGAAGTTGTGGGTGCTCCATCTCTGGAGGTTTTGAAGAAGAGATTGGACAACCATTTTGTCTGAAATGATACAGGGTTTCCTGCCCGAGCAGGGGGTTGGACTAGATGACCTCCAAGGCCCCTTTGTCATGCCCCTGTTGGAATCTGATTCCGAGGGAGAGGTGGAACAGCTGACAGGGAATAGGAGTGTGGCTCTGGTGGCTGTGGAGGAAACGGGGGAAGGGCACAGTCCGGCTGGGCGTTCAGAGGAAGACCCAGGCCCGCCGCCTCTTCATCCTAGGGCATGCAGGGAGGAACGGAGAAGGGAGCAACGTGAGTTGCATGGCTTACGAGGGAGGAAAGGGCCCTGATCCCCTTCATTGGCTGCAGCTGGGAAGACTGTTTAAAAGGGCAAACTGCCCAGGGCAAAGTTGCTGGAAGCAAAGCGTGAAATTACTTTGGTTTGTCAAGTCTTATCTGACTTCTGGTGTCCTCCCAAGTGTGTGTGTTTCATTCTCTTTTGACGTCTTCAATCCCTTATCCTGCCCTGTCTCGTTAATTGCTGCAGTTTTGGTTTGTGTTGGTTTTTATTTATAATTTATATGTACTTCGGGTTCGGACAGAATTTCTTCCTTTTAAAAACTATTTTTGGGAGAGTTTTTTTTTCTCCAGCCGATGATAACTGGACATTGGGGGCCAAGTTGGAGGTATTAAAGGGACTTTACCTATTTTTGTTGCTTTTGTGCCACGCCCCTTTGGATCATCACACCCTTCTAACTCTTGTTATTCTGTTATGAAGGAGAGATCCAATCTTAAAACAAGGATAAATTTCCAGACAGTGAGGACGATTAACCAGTGCGAACGACTTGTCTCCAGAAGTTGTGGGTACTCCAACTCTGGAGATTGGATAACCATTATGTCCGAAACGATACAGGGTTTCCCGCTTGAGCAGAGGGTTGGACTAGATGACCTCCAAGGCCCCTTCCAAGTCTTGTTATTCTATTAAATTGCAAAGCAGGTAGTCCTCCACTTGCAGCTATTCACTTCATGACCGTTTGAAGTTACAAAGACACTGAAAAAAAAGTGACTTACAACCCGTCCTCTCGCTTACGACCGTCGTCCGCATTTCCCCACAGTCATGTGATCAAAATTCGGGAGACTTAACAACCGACATACAGTTGCCAGCATCCCAGGGGTCATGTGATTGTCATTTGGGACCCCTCCCGGAGGGGGAGGGCTTCTCAGAAGCATGGAGAGGATGGATCTGCTTAATGGCCATGCGATTCACTTAACAACCATGGCTACAAAGGTTATAAAAAATTTGGGATGAACCCCCTTGGAATGGTGTGGGAGTAGGGATGGATTTCCAGAGCAAAAATGGCAGACTACGGGAACCATTTTGCATCACTCAGGTGGCCCTGAGGACACAGATCAACCTCCAAGCGGCCTCCACGACCCTCTAAAAGGATGCAAATGACCCGCTGTCTGCAAGGAATATGAATCCTTCTCTTTCCCCATTATCCTGTCAGAACTGAAAAAGCTTCTTGGATGAGAAGCGAAATGTCTTCAAAAGAAAAAAAACAAACAAAGGAAATCCAGTTGCCCCTTGAAAATAGCACCTTCGGGACAAACCCTGACCTGGATGACTGAGAATATTTACAGACTTTTACCACCTCTTAGAAAATCTGCCCTACTAAAAAGATTTATGGGTCTTAGGATAATGAGGCTTTTTTTTTTCTATTTTAATACAGTGATCCTTCAGAAAAAAATAACACCATTAATCACAGGATAATAATGGCCTATTTGGCTAGGCCGATCACATGTTCTCTCTCTTAAGTTGCAAAAATAAAATAAAAAGTTACACCAATTTAGGATGAAAATAATTCAGTTAGCTGGCTCAATGTTACTGCCTTGGAGAGGGATCTTGGATCTTGTGTTGTAAAGCATCTACAGGCAGGGGTGTCCAA